ACAGTGTGAAGTTCCCACGGATGTAGTACATACAGTGTGACATTCCCACGGATGTAGAGCGCACATTGTGAAGTTACCATGGGATGGAGAGCGCACAGTGTGAAGTTCCCATGGGATGTAGAGCACACAGTGTGAAGTTCCCATGGGATGGAGAGCACACAGTGTGAAGTTCCCATGGGATGGAGAGCACACAGTGTGAAGTTCCCATGGGATGTAGAGCACACAGTGTGAAGTTCCCATGGGATGTAGTGCACACAGTGTGAAGTTCCCATGGGATGTAGAGCGCACAGTGTGAAGTTCCCATGCGATGTTGAGCGCACAGTGTGAAGTTCCCATGGGATGTAGTGCACACAGTGTGAGTTCCCACGGGATGTAGTGCACACAGTGTGAAGTTCCCATGGGATGGAGAGCACACAGTGTGAAGTTCCCATGGGATGTAGAGCGCACAGTGTGAAGTTCCCATGGGATGTTGAGCACACATTGTGAAGTTCCCACGGGATGGAGAGTGCACAGTGTGAAGTTCCCACAGGATGGAGAGCGCACAGTGTGAAGTTCCCATGGGATGGAGAGCACACAGTGTGAAGTTCCCATGGGAGGTTGAGCACACAGTGTGAAGTTCCCATGGGATGTAGAGCGCACAGTGTGAAGTTTCCACGGGATGTAGAGCGCACAGTGTGAAGTTCCCATGGGATGGAGAGCACACAGTGTGAAGTTCCCATGGGATGTAGAGCGCACAGTGTGAAGTTTCCACGGGATGTAGAGCGCACAGTGTGAAGTTCCCATGGGATGGAGAGCACACAGTGTGAAGTTCCCATGGGATGTAGAGCGCACAGTGTGAAGTTTCCATGGGATGTAGAGCGCGCAGTGTGAAGTTCCCATGGGATGGAGAGCACACAGTGTGAAGTTCCCATGGGAGGTTGAGCACACAGTGTGAAGTTCCCATGGGATGTAGAGCGCACAGTGTGAAGTTTCCACAGGATGTAGAGCGCACAGTGTGAAGTTCCCTGGGATGGAGAGCCCACAGTGTGAAGTTCCCAGGGATGTAGAGCACAGAGTGTGAAGTTCACATGGATGGAGAGCGCACAGTGTGAAATTCATATTTAATGGGGAGTGCACTGTGTGATGTTCCTATGGGATGGAGAGCGCACATTGTGCAGTTCCGGTGGGATGTTGAGCACACAGTGTGAAGTTCCCATGGGATGGAGAGCGCACAGTGTGAAGTTCCCATGGGATGTTGAGCACACAGTGTGAAGTTCCCATGGGATGTAGAGCGCACAGTGTGAAGTTTCCACGGGATGTAGAGCGCGCAGTGTGAATTTCCCATGGGTTGTAGTGCGCAGAGTGTGAAGTTCACATGGATGGAGAGCGCACAGTGTGAATTTCACATGGGATGGGGAGCACACAGTGTGAAGTTCCCACGGGATGTTGAGCACACAGTGTGAAGTTCCCACGGGATGGAGAGCGCACAGTGTGAAGTTCCCACGGGATGGAGAGCGCACAGTGTGAAGTTCCCATGGTATGGAGAGCACACAGTGTGAAGTTCCCATGGGATGTAGTGCACACAGTGTGAAGTTCCCATGGGATGTAGTGCACACAGTGTGAAGTTCCCATGGGATGTAGATCACACAGTGTGAAATTCCCATGTGATGGAGAGCGCACAGTGTGAAGTTCCCACGGGATGGAGAGCGCACAGTGTGAAGTTCCCACGGGATGTAGAGCGCACAGTGTGAAGTTCCCATGGGATGTAGTGCACACAGTGTGAAGTTCATATGGGATGTAAAGTGCACACAGTGTGCAGTTCCCATGTGATGGGGAGCGCACAGTGTGAAGTTCCCATGGGATGTAGAGTGCACAGTGTGAAGTTTCCATGGGATGTAGAGCGCACAGTGTGAAGTTCCCATGGGATGTAGAGCACACAGTGTTAAGTTCATATGGGATGTAAAGTGCACACAGTGTGCAGTTCCCATGGGATGGGGAGCGCACAGTGTGAAGTTCCCATGGGATGTAGAGCGCACAGTGTGAAGTTCCCATGGGATGTTGAGCACAGTGTGAAGTTCCAACGGGATGGAGAGTGCACAGTGTGAAGTTCCCACAGGATGGAGAGCGCACAGTGTGAAGTTCCCATGGGATGGAGTGCGCACAGTGTGCAGTTCCCATGGGATGGGGAGCGCACAGTGTGAAGTTCCCATGGGATGTAGAGCGCACAGTGTGAAGTTCCCATGGGATGTTGAGCACAGTGTGAAGTTCCAACGGGATGGAGAGTGCACAGTGTGAAGTTCCCACAGGATGGAGAGCGCACAGTGTGAAGTTCCCATGGGATGTAGAGCACACAATATGAAGTTCCCATGGGATGTAGAGCGCACAGTGTGAAGTTCCCATGGGATGTAGAGCGCACAGTGTGAGGTTCCACGGAATGTAGAGCGCACAGTGTGAAGTTCCTACGGGATGTAGAGCGCACAGTGTGAAGTTCCCACGGGATATAGTACATACAGTGTGACATTCCCACGGGATGTAGAGCGCACAGTGTGAAGTTCCCATGGGATGGAGAGCACACAGTGTGAAGTTCCCATGGGATGTAGAGCACACAGTGTGAAGTTCCCATGGGATGTAGAGCACACAGTGTGAAGTTCCCATGGGATGGAGAGCACACAGTGTGAAGTTCCCACGGTATGTAGAGCGCACAGTGTGAAGTTCCCATGGGATGTAGTGCACACAGTGTGAAGTTCCCACGGGATGTAGAGCGCACAGTGTGAAGTTCCCACGGGATGTAGAGTGCACAGTGTGAAGTTCCCCCGGGATGTAGAGCGCACAGTGTGAAGTTCCCACGGGATGGAGAGCACACAGTGTGAAGTTCCATGGGATGTAGTGCGCAGAGTGTGAAGTTCCCAGGGGATGTAGTGCACACAGTGTGCAGTTCATATGGGATGTAAAGTGCACACAGTGTGAAGTTCCCACGGGATGTAGAGCGCACAGTGTGCAGTTCCCATGGGATGGAGAGCACACAGTGTGAAGTTCCCACGGGATGTAGTGCGCAGAGTGTGAAGTTCATATGGGATGTTAAGTACACACAGTGTGCAGTTCCAATGGGATGGAGAGCGCACAGTGTGAAGTTCCCATGGGATGTAGAGCGCACAGTGTGAATTTCCCATGGGATGGGGAGCGCACAGTGTGCAGTTCCCATGGGATGGGGAGCGCACAGTGTGAAGTTCATATGGGATGTGGAGCGCACAGTGTGAAGTTCATATGGGATGTAAAGTGCACACAGTGTGCAGTTCCCAGGGGATGTAGAACCCACAGTGTGAAGTTCCCATGGGACGTAGAGCACAGAGTGTGAAGTTCACATGGATGGAGAGCGCACAGTGTGAAGTTCCCACGTGATGGAGAGCACACAGTGTGAAGTTCCCACGGGATGTAGTGCACACAGTGTGTAGTTCCCACGGGATGTATAGTGCACAGTGTGAAGTTCCCACGGGATGTAGAGTGCACAGTGTGAAGTTCCCATGGGATGTAGTGCACACAATGTGAAGTTCCCACGGGATGTAGAGCGCACAGTGTGAAGTTCCCATGGGATGTAGTGCACACAGTGTGAAGTTCATATGGGATGTAAAGTGCACACAGTGTGAAGTTCCCACGGGATGTAGAGCGCACTGTGTGACGTTCCCATGGGATGTAGAGCGCACAGTGTGAAGTTTCCATGGGATGTATAGCACACACATGTGAAGATCATGTGGGATATAGAGTGCACGTGTGAAGTTCACATGAGATAAAGAGTGTGCACAGTGTTGAAATTCACATGAGATAGAGTGCACACAGTGTCAAGTTCACTAGGGACAGTGTACACAGATACACTATGCTTATTAACTACTTAGGACAGTTTTGTGCATGATAACTTTTTACCTATCTTGGTTCTCAAACAGTATTTCCAAATACCTGGAGGTGCTAAATAGTGAAATTTTAATTTATAACCTAACCCTGGCTGGTGTGGCTGTGTTGGTCGGAGCTCCGTCCAGTGCACCAAAAATTTGTGAATTTGATATCAGGTCATGGCACATACCTAGATTGTGGGTTCAGTCCCCAGCTGGGGTGCATACAAAAGGCAACCAATTAATATTTCTCTCTCTCTCTCTCTCAAGTTAAAGGGCATGTGCTCAGGTGAGGATTACAGGAACAAAAACAAATGAAAATGTGTAACCTAATATCATAGTGATTTTTTTGTTGTTATTCATGTAGAGTGTCTTAGGAAGTGAATATACAGTGGATTAAAACTTCAGGAAATTGTTAACCCAGAAAACTACTTGGACAGTGTTGGAAGGAATGACATGCCTTTACCTTTACAGCAGACGTTCTCAACAGCAGCACTATAATATTTTGGGATGCATAATTCTTTTACTCATGGTGCTATTTTTGGCATTTTAAAAATTATTTAGCCACATTCCTGGTCTCTATCCACCTGTGCTACCCTCCCCTCTAGTTGTAACAGCCGGGAACATCTCCAGAACTTGCCAAATATGCTTTGAAAAGACACAATCATCCCCAGTTTCATGTATACAGGAAATACAATGTGTTAGAATTCCAAAATTGCCATTTGTTTAGAGTGTGCTTTGGTCCGAGAAATGCTGGCTCAAAGACGTTATTTTTGGACTTTTACTCAATCCCATCTCTCTTTTCCATGAAAACATTACAGAATAATTATGCTAATAAACATTGTTGATTTTCTTTCACTTTCTTCGGTATTAAGCTATTTTCGTCTGAGTTTTGAATGGTGAGGGTGAGGCCTGGGCCAACTCTATTCCGCTTAAAACTTTCAACATAGAAGTGTATATGAAACCACCTATATTTCATTGAAAATGTGTCAAAATATAAAAACATGAACGTTAAGCGTCCTAGAAACAGGATTCCTGAACTGAAATTTCAGGTTGTAGAAACTAGGGTAATTCTGAAGAGCTGATGTTTTTATCGTTCAGCACAGTTACAAACTGTTCTACTTGTTCCTATTTCAGGACCTCCGGGACAGACTGCCTACCCTGGCTTCGGCTACCCTCACCCCCAGGCCGCCCACCCCGGCACGCAGGCAGGCTACCCTGGCCCCCAGGCTAACTATTCAGTCTCACCGCCTGTCTATTCAGGTGCTGGTCCAGTGGGCTTTCCTGTCCAACACCAGCCAATGTATAACCAGCCAGGTGGACCTGCAGGGGTGCCATGGATGCCAGCACCACCACCTCCACCAGGCTGTCCACCAGGGTTGGAATATTTAACTCAGGTAATTTCAAATATGTTAAAGTTATTAAAAATAAAACTGTGCTTCCAGCTCACTTAATGAGATTAACACATGACGAATTCACAACCATCTGAAATGGTGAAACAACATTTTTTGCTAACAAATCACTCCCTTTCTTCTGGGTCAGGTTTACTTTTAAAGCAAACTACAAATTGCTTAGGAAATTGTGTTTTCTATGATCTTGAATATAATCTGTGATAATAGCCAATAACAAACATTTATTAAGCAACATTTTCCAGGCTTTGTTACAAAGTACAAGTATGAACTCATTTGAATCTTTCAAAAGCTTTATGATATACAGGTGCTATAATTAGTACCATTTTACATAAGAGGAGACTGAGGTTCAGAGAAGTGGCATAATTTTCTCAGCATCAAAATGCCAACTGAGAATGGCTTTTTACTACTGGAACCTTGGTTCTATAAACTGGGCTCTTTAATTCCAACACTGAATAACTTTCTAGGAATTGGAAAGAAAAGTCAAACTCAATTCACGGTTGAGTTTCAATAAGAAGTACCAAAAATGGAGTAAATATTTTGTATAGAATATTGATTCCTTTTTCCTGCCACATTAATAGTGAACACATTCAATAGATATTTTTAATTAAAAATGTATTATCTTTAGCCCTAGCTGGTGGCTGGTGTGGCTCAGTAGGTTGAGCATCATCCCAAGCCCACAGAGGTTGATGGTTCAATTCCCACTCAGGGCACATACCCAGGTAGCAGGCTCCATCCCTACTAGGGGGCAAGCAGGAGGCAGCTGATAGATGTTATGCTCTCACATCAATAGTTCTCTCTTCTTCCTTCCTCTCTCTCTAAAAATGAATAAACTATTCTTGTTGATTTTTTTTTTCCTTTTTTTTTTCTGATAGAATGAGAGGGAGAGGAAGAGAGAGAGAGAGAGAGAGGGAGAGAGAGAGAAACATCAATGTGAAAGGGACACATGGAGTGGCTGCCACCCACACAACCAACCAGGGCCAGGGACAAACTGCAACCGAGGTATGTGCCCTTAACGGGAACCGAACCTGGGACTCTCTGTACAGCAGGCCGATGCTCTAACCGCTGAGCCAAATCGGCCAGGGCAAATAAATTATTCTTTAAAAAATATTAAAATATATTAACTTTAGTCACACGTAGAAGTAATATAAACTATCATTAAATATTGATAATATTGGTACATATTGTTAATAGATTATTGTATTGTTTAAAATATAAAAGCACTAATGTTAATTTGGTTTAAAAAACGTGATATATAATTTACAGCTTAACTTTTTTTTTACTATGACAGATAGATCAGATACTGGTTCATCAGCAAGTTGAGCTTCTAGAAGGTATGTATTGATTGTATTGATTACATTTCTAGAAAAAGAAGACATTTGTGCAAATAAAGGCATATCAACAACCACAGATATAACAGTTTCACTGATGTGGAATGATTAAGCCTGGTTATTTACAAATGTCTCTCATCCTGATAATGAAATTATGACCATTGTCAGCAGCTCGTTTCTTGAAATTAGGAGTCAAATGGTAAAATACTGTTACTCTTGGCATCTGTCCTCATGATATAGACCCTAATTTAGAAGGACACCAAACAAAACTTATTTTTGCTCCCCCTTCTCTCTGGAAATCACTTCAGTGACTTATCACTTCATCTGGCCTCTCTTAGTTCGTCTCTTCCTCCCTGATCTTTGGTGATCTTGAGATCTGTGAACCTTGTGTAGTGATGAACTCAACTTAGTGCATTTCCAAAGTGAATGCATGTTTTGAATGTGGATGTGTATGTTGTGGAAAATTGCAATCCTTTTGGAAACTTCTCTTGGGAGTTCAGATGAATCATTGAAAACCTTTTTGCTGTGCTGTGGGCTAAGGATTATCCCCTTGGCTGTTTGAGGATGCTGACCGGCAGGCGAGAGGCCTGGCTTCCTAAACAGCACTCCTGCTATGGGTGGGCCTGATTCCAGCAGGTGTCTCTCTGGGCCCCGTGCTCCTCATGTGGGAAGTCACCTGATGCTTCAAGTTCCTGCCAGGAACATTCATGAACCATAGTATTTTTTTTCCAGATATAGAGATCAATGAAAACTCTGCTAGTTATAGAAATATATCTATTAAATCTTTGTTCGCTGCTCTGCAAAGTTTCTTTCCACTAGTAGAAATTATAATACGAATCACACTAGTCAGTGCTAGATTCAGTTAGTATATACAATTCTTATCTATTGTAATTGGATTACTTACAGTGTACATTGTTAGATATTCGTAATGACCTCTTGTTGTTAGTCTGTTTGAACTAAGTTTAAACTCCTGCAAAGGAGCTCTTTGTTGTTGGAAAATTTGTATTCTGAATTTTTTAATGTTTTATTCTAGGGAATTTATTTTAGAGATGATAACCCCCCTCACAAGGCCCTATCCATTGTACAGTACTCCATTCATAGTTTTTAGATTTATGGCTTTTACATACTTTTAAAAATATATAAGTATTAATCTTAAATATAAAGTTCCAAATTTAGTAGTTATTAATTCTATTTTTAAAAGGGATCTCTTTAATTTTGTTTTATATTTCAAATTGGAAGTCTATATTTTAACATTATGAATAGCAAAAGAGATGAATATGTATTACTATCTTTTTTAGTATCAGACTATGGTAGCCACCTTTCCCAACTCAAAGTTTAGTAGACAGTAAAGACATAGGCATAGAATTTATTCGTTTCATTTGTTTTCATTTTTTAAGTAAATAGAAGGAAATTTAGAGATTGTGAAAGTCCATTGATTTCATTTTACAGATAAACAGACCAAAAACATTGACACCTGGATAACAGGGCCTGTGTGAGTCAGAGCAAAGTCACTTAAGGGCAGTCATGGTGCTAGACTTTGTGCAGGACATCTCTATCTGAATGGAAGTCCATCCACACAGATACTGGAGATACAGTGATACCTCGGTTCTCGAACATAATTCGTTCCAGGAGGACGGTCGAGAACCGAATTGTTCGAGAACCGAAGCAATGAAACCCAATAGGAAAGCGGACTCCACAAAGCGTGACTCTCTCTCTGCGCTCACACTGATGACGCCAGCAAGGCGCGCTGGGCCGAATGAACGCCATTCGGCTCAACTCGGAAGTTCGAGTTCCAAATATTTGTTCGGATTCTGAGACAAAAGTTTCTCGAATCCTGATTTGGTCGAAAACCGAGGCGTTCGAGAACCGAGGTATCACTGTAGTTTGTCTCCAGATTTTTTTTTAAATCACTAGCTATTTGGATGGCTTGCGACATTTTTTGGCCCAAGGTAAAGTGAGCTCTTCACAAGTGGACCTAGGGTTGCTCCTTCCCGGCTCTAAGCAAGGACTAGTTTCCAATGTGTGGTTCAGCCTGGGAACACTTCGGTAAGACACCCAGTGGGTGTCAGTATTCAGCATCCCTCTTTTTCCCCAGTGAAGACTTAGCCCCCTCTAAAGTGCACAGTTCCCTTAGGGTGCCAGTGGTCTAGATGTTCTGAGATGAGGCCTTGGTCCCCAAGCACCTTTGCCCCTTGTCTAATACCACCTCGCCCTCGGAACAGCTGCTGCTGAATAAAACAGGGGCGCCCTGGGCCCAGTGTGACGCTCTGATCCCTGTCACTCTCTCCCTGTTCACAGGTGTGCATTGAGAGTAAACGCCTTCATTGCCTTCTCTTCCACGGTGCAAAAAGTAAGCCATGAATATGGTGGAAAACAAAACCCCAGGCCAATTTGTTTACTGTCTTGTTTCAGAGCATAAACATAGCGCTCATCCTCTGTTCCCTCCCTAACTGAACATGTGCGAACTGTACCGAGCAGTGGACACGTTCTGCACACTAGCACGGCTGTGACCATCGGCGCCCTGCCCAGCCCTCTGCAGCTGTGTCCCTTCCTGACACACGTCTGCAGAGCTCGGGACCTGGGAGGATGGGGGTTTCCTTTCCCCGACGCACATCGGACTCGTCATTGTGTGCACCTTCATACCCCTCCTGCTTCTCTTTCTTTGCCTTTTTTCTCTGCCTACATCATTTCTAAACCTTTCCTTTTTTTTTTCCCTATGTGACAGGAAGTGTCCTCTAGAAATGGTGTAACTAGAGGTTCTAGTACCTTAGAATTGCTGCAGAATTCTTTTATCATAATAGTCATAATGACTCCTTTTATGTTTTCAGTCTTAACGGGTTTTGAAACAAATAACAAATACGAAATTAAGAACAGCCTTGGACAGAGGGTTTACTTTGCCGTGGAAGATACTGATTTCTGTACCCGAAATTGCTGTGGGGCTGATAGGCCTTTCACCATGAGGATTCTGGACCTTATGGGCCGAGAGGTCATGACTCTGGAGAGACCACTGAGGTGTACCAGCTGCTGTTGCCCCTGCTGCCTTCAGGAGGTCAGTGAGCAATTAGCCCGTAACGGGGAAGGGAGCTCAACAGGAATTGTCACTGAATCTATATAATCCAATGAGTTTTTTCTAAATATTGGTCCATGAGCTACTGTTTTATGCTTGAGAGTCATGTGGACCGGAAGGATGGCGGGTAAAAAAGTGACCAGTTAGCCCCTGGCCCTGAGGAGTGTGCCTCATGGGTTGAGCATCCGCTCAGAGTCCGACTTCGGGGAGAGCTGAGAAGATAAGGCACCTCGGTCAAGTCCCTCACTTGAAATGACCATGAGAGGCCCAGATAAGGCCAGAGGAAGGCACCACAGAGAATATTCTAGAAACGATTCCAGGAGCAAGTAGAGAGAAGAATGCAGAGAAGAACAGTGTGTTCATCTCCAAGCTCGCCGTTATGGAAGAAACCTGGGAGAAAAAAATCTCAACTCCTGCGTGTTTTTTTTAACGGGTTAAAAAATTATTTCATTCTTAGTTAAATGCTTCTGTTGTTTTGTTTGTTTGTTATTCTTGTTTATTTTTAAATATGTTTTTTATTTATTTTTAGAAAGAGAGAGAGAGAGAGAAACATCATTTGCCCACCTCCTGTACAACCCCCACTGGGGATCAGACCCGCAACCCAGGCATGTGCCCTGACCAGGAATCGAACATGTGACCTCTTGGTGCATGGGTCAACACTCAGCCACTGAGCCACACTGGCTGGGCAAATGCTCTCGTTCTGGTAAAAGAATGGGAGTTGACCAGATTTGTTATGTGGGGAATTGGATCTGGTGTTTAAATGCTGCTTTAAAAAAAAACAAAACTTAATTTTTTAATATTTTTTTATTGCAGATGTCCCTCCTTTCCCCCCCTTGACACCTGCCTCCCTGCTCTCAGCCCTGCGCCCACTTTCACAGCCCTGTTGTCTGTGTCCATTGGTTGTGCATATGTGCATATAAGATATTTGGTTTATCCCTTCCACCCTCCCAACACCCTTCCCTCTGAGCTTTGTCCGTCCGTTCCCTGTGTTTTGAAGTTTCCAATTTTGAAAAATAATATATTGAGCACCTCTAATAGAAAGGTGCTAGGTATGTGCCTTGATCAGGTGGCTCAGTTGTTTGGCGCATCATCCAGTATGCTAAGAAGATTGCAGGTTCTATTCTACTCCAAGTCAGGGTGCATGCGGGACGCAAGAGGTCAATGTTTCTCTCACATCAATGTTCTGTGTGTGTGTGTGTCTTCCTCTTTCTAAAATCAATAACCATAACCTCAGGTGAGGATTTAAAAAGAAATTATTATACTAGGTGTGGGTACCTTCAGCTCTATAAGGACCAGGTGTCTATCGCGTATTACTTGTCAGCTCACTGAGACGGAACGTGGATCTCAGGAGGACACCAGGGCCCAGACAGTTTACAGGAAAGTCGGCCCTTGCTTGTCTCCCACTGGCCTGAGACCAGCCCTGCCTGGCCAGTCATTCAGCAAGGGGCTGTGAGACCAGGAAGCAGACAGGGAGGCACAGGCACGTGGTACTTGAGGTCAAAGTCTGCGTTCATTTTCAGAAGATAAGTGAAGCTATTCCTACTGAATTGCTTTGTGTTTTGTGTAATTTAGATTAAGTATAACAGTGTCTATCCAGAGGAGTATCTGAGGAAAAACTGAGAGTTTGATGGAATGTGCTCTAAATGGAAAGAGCACATTAACAAACATGATCCTACTGGTCTTAGAAAACGGGCTAGGAAGATGTCACTTACAATGAGCACCACGGGGTACTCTCTAGGTCTCCCAGCGAATAGCAGAGCCAAGACTCCAGGCCCCACCCAGTTCCTTTCCGCTAGAGAACCAGCACCACTCATACTTGAAAATCACACCAGTGATCAGGATCCTGTGCACACATCTCAACCACTATTTAAAAGGAGTCTGAGAAAAGACTTCCTTCATCATTCAGACATGTTTCATAAAGATGGAAATTTAAAAATGTGCAAGGTCAGCGGAGCGTTGCTGAGAGTGGAGTCCGCGCATGCAGAGGGCCAGAGCTGGTGACTCGTCCCTTCCGCTTTGCAGCGAGGGAATCTGATACCAGTCAGTTAACTCTCTGTTCTTCAGCTACTTTCTTCATAAATAGGGAAAACAGTACCAACCTGGTAAGATGTGTTGGAAATCAAGTGATGCCTAGAACAGTGTCTGGAACTTAGTATTCAGTAAATGAGAGTCCTTATTAGACATTAGTATTATTATTATTAAAATGTTTACACGTTCTTTTGCTTTTGTAGATAGAAATCCAAGCCCCCCCTGGGGTGCCAGTGGGTTACGTTGTCCAGAACTGGCACCCTTGCTTGCCGAAGCTGACGATTCAAAATGAGAGGAAGGAGGATGTGCTGAAAATTGTTGGGCCATGCCTTGTGTGTAGCTGCTGTGCAGATATTGATTTTGAGGTAAGAGATGCGATCATGTTTACAGGTTTTGCTTTTCTTATGTAATATCAATTGGGAGGATGCTATGAATCCTAAATAAATACGTGTATCCTAACATTTCAAGAGGGACACAATGTGCTCCTCATTGAACTTTGGTCAGAAAGGACGTTACTAATCTCATTGAGTTTCCATGTTGATTACACTAAGTGGAAAAAAGAAAAGCAGAGCCTGCAGTCCAATAAATATAAGCAAAACAACTAATGCGGGTGGTGGTTTGTGCGTGGACGCACTACCTGCTGTCCATTTGGTGTAGGACGTTCGCCTCGTCATGCGTCTGACTGCCAAAGCCTGGGGGTCCTTCCTGAGTCTGAAACACAGGCTGCTGGTGCTCTGGGCCCTCTTCCAAAGGTCTGACATCTTGGGGTCCCTACAAAAACCCAATTATGCAGAGAGAGTTTTCAGGAAGATAGTGTAAGATGTGCTACCCATGGTCTCTCCTTTATTCTTGTGTTCAATCTGATGATCAGGAATCACAACCTTATCTATGTACTTATGATACGGAGCGATTTCATGACAGCAGTTTTCCAACAGGTTGTCTAGCCTTAGAATTCACATTATTTAGTGGCAAATATTAGAATTTGGGAGATTTTATAACTTAATCTTGATTTTCTTGTTCTATTGGAAAAGCAGAAAATGTGGGAAAGTGGATTCACGTTTCTATAAAAGGGAAAGAAAATAGGCTGAACCTGAGTAGTGCTGCCCCGTTGTGACTGATATATGGGAACTCTGCAAGTCTCCCCTGGCTTCCTTAAGTTTTCCACTATCCAGCTTCATTGTTACATCATCTGCCTGGTGATATGATACTAAAGACGTGTGTCAGACCCTGGTTACATAAAGATGAATCCTCCCCTCATTGACTTCACAGTACAATGAGGGAGACAGGCAACTCTAAGAAAACACAGGCGATGTAATAGAGACATTATAAAGACTTTTTAAAAGGATATTGTTTGTGGGTGGGATTTATACCCTGTATGTGTAAAGCCTTTGTAGATTTATGTATACTGATATTTCTCTATGTAGGGGTTACCATTTCAATTAAAGATCTGGAGGAGTAAAAAGGAAATTGTTCTTTCAGGGAATATTAGCATTGAGTTTGGCTAACATATCATTTATTTGTTTAAAATAAATGAAAATACTGATGAAGCAAGTCAGACCAGATTGCAAAACTCTTATATTAATGCTAAGGAATTTAGAAATCACCTGACAACCCTTCTCAACCTTATAGCCTCCATTAGGTAATAAATTAACTTACTCCCATGCATCTAAAATGGTGCTACTAAGTAACATCTTTGAGGGAATTGAGAAAATAGTCCCTTTAAACATTGTCAGAAAGCTAGCTGATTGGATGTTTGAATGCAGAAATTATCTATATGAAGAACCATTATGGAACATGAATTCCATCTGGGTGTCAGTGAGCATGGCAACTTGGTATATGTAAAAAAAACAAACAAACAAACAAAAAAAAACAGCAAGAGCAGAAGTCACTCTATAGGAAGAAATCATTCAAGAGGCATTGAATAAGTGTACTAAGTGGAATTGATTCATGGATTTGATGTCAGTTGAAGGTGAAAGAAAATTGGGAGATTGTTCTGATGTCTGAGGATTAAGAAGCTGAAAAACAATAATGCCGTTGACCACCTTAAGGATCTTTCTACCAATTGATTTGTAGAAAGCTAATAATGTGTAATTGAGTTGCATTGGATTTTAGATATGTAGACAGAAAAGTTGAGGGGTTTTCAGCATACCAATGATAGCTGAAGCCATGAGTACATACTGCTCTAGAAACGAATCCACCAAGAACAACCTTCATATAATAGAACATTGTGCAATCAATCATATGAGAAGTACTTAAATAAACATTACACAAAACAAGAAGCTTAATGGGAAGAATGAAACTAATATTAAAGGACAGGAAAATTTGAAAACAAGCCAGATAGTAAAATAAAGAAGAGTTACTTATACAATCTCATGGAAAGCATTTAGATACAGATGAAGATAAAATTACTGAAATTGATGATCCATGTTAGGGAAGTAAAGGAGGAAAATATAAATTTGAAGGAATAAAAAAAATTGAAGGAATGAGGAAGCTAGAGTAAACTACTCTTGAAGACAGAAAATGTGCTTAGATAATATTCAAGTAGATAAATGGCTAAGAATCTTTAAAATACCTTCATCAATTACTTTTTTAAATAATAAAAATTTTAAAATAATAATATACCAATTTAATTTTTCAGAAGTAGAAATACTTTCATTATATAGATTTTATTTCTAAAATATTATCTAAAATTGAGCCAAAAATTGTCTAGTCCTGTTGACTTCTCAGCTGTACATTTTTCACATCTATGAACCTATCCCTAATAAAATTCTATCTTCTACTTTTTACATGAATTTTTATATTTCTTACTATAGGCATCAAAAAGGGTTAATGTTAAGTTTAGTGATAGGATTATGGTGGCTGCCAAGTTACCTCTTGTATATTTTATTGCAAAATATCTTAAAAATTAGTAATAACTAAATTAAAAACAAAATGTCAAGTTTTATTACCAGCTACAAATGCTTACATGACAACTATTCACAGATAAACCACTAAAGTGTCAAAAGAGATGATTTGTATTAGTCTGTTCTCCCACAATAGTCTTATGTAAAATAACCCCTAAAGCTTCGTAGCTTAAAACAACAAACACACTATGTGTCTCCAGGTCAGCCGAGTCACAGTGGATACACATAGGCTCTGCTAGATGGCTGTAATTTACACTCTAAGTTGACCTTCGTCCTGCTCCAGGTCTGCTCATTCTAGAGCTGTAGCAAGAACAAGCACACGATTTTCTAGCGGCTGATGACTGCAGAGCAAGAGCCAGGCCGAACCGCTTAGCCATGTTTCAGGTCTCTGCTCACCGTCAGATACACTAACATTCCACTGGTCAAATTCGTCAAACAAGTCACACTGTGAAGCCTAATTATCAATGTTCAGGGGAGAATACTGGGCCTACAGTGGGAGGGGTGAATGAATATGGATGAACAGTAATCCATGCTACCACAATTTTCATATACAAGTTTATTTCAGGTCTATTAGGAAAACCACCCACACGGGAATAAAATGAATCAACTGTTTCTAGTTTCCCTGCATTTACTGAGCAGCTTCCAACCTGAGGTAGGACTTCAAAGTGCTAGCGTGTGTACATTTGAAAAGGCCGTTTCTCTTCCTGGGTTGACACAGCCCCATGTGTACACACCATGGGGAGTGTGGCTGCCTTCAGCCCTGCACGCCCACTGGTGCGGTGCTGTCGTCCGGCTACAATCTGTTCAACTCTCTATGGTGGCCCTGGAGTTTCCTCAGGCAGAATTGCAAGATTAGAAACATTTTATTTCGGAGCTTGTTTTCATACACCCTTCTTCTTTTTGTTGTTGTCCAATCTTACCCCAACCCTGGCCCTGTGCATCCCATCAAGTTCCTTCTTGGATACTTTCCTTCACTCCAAACTGCCAGTCCTCATTCCAGGCCCTCAGCACTTCCTGTTTGCCTGCTTTCAGTGAGGGGTAAGGCCCCTCCCGTCACAGTAAACACTGAGCCAGGTCAGCTCTGTGCTTGTCTTATAGCAGATGCTGCACATGGGGCTTAGTTTGCTACCGTCCTGGTGCGTCTAGAAATTTCACCAAAGAAACATTTCACGTTTGTGTCTTTTCCTGTTTCAATTGTGTTTTAGATCAGTTAAAAGTATTTAGTACTGTGCTTCCATGTACAATATAAGACGTTAACTATTTTAGTAAAACTACTTTCTATAAGTTTTCTGTAACAATTTCTTTCATGTATCTATAGATATAGGAACTTATATGCATCTAATGAGTGATATAATGTTCATAGTTACATATTATGTATCCGTTTAATAACACATTTGTTTCATTGTATTCCAAATTTTAAAGGAGTTTTGTGATTAGTTTTCCAGAATTCTTTTAGACCCTTATTTTTTTTTTTTTTTTCCTTAGATTAAATCTCTTGATGAAGAAAATATAGTTGGCAAGATTTCCAAGCAGTGGACTGGCTTTGTGAGAGAGGCATTCACAGATGCTGACAACTTTGGGATCCAGTTCCCTGCCGACCTGGACGTGAAGATGAAGGCCGTGATGATCGGCGCCTGTTTCCTCATCGTAAGTCTGCTGGCTCCTCGTGGCGGTCCGAGTGCCCGGGGAAGATTCCGTGAATTACAGTTTTTTAAATGACCCACTTACACTTACAGGTTTTATTCAAGCAGGGCCCCATTTAATCCTAGCTCTGAAATCCCATTTGCTCCTGATAGTCTGGATTCACAAATGACTAGTTTCCCTGGAAATTCTGCTCAGTTTCACGTGGCAACAGAAAGACTTTGTGCATTACCGAGAGGCCCTCGTCTTTGGGGCTTCTATTTAAAACTTAAAATAGGTGCATTCAGATATCGCTCACATGGAGCAGAACCCAGTGAAACTGGGAGGTCCGTCTTGATTCATTATTCAGTGAAACTCTCTACTACAGGGGCGTGGTCTGCAGTAAGAGCGCATCCAGTCCAGCCCCCCGATGGCACTGCCCGTTGACACACATGGGGTTGCGCAGTGATTCTGAACTTGTCCTCCACTGAACCACACAGGGAGATTTCAGAAACCCAAGTGCCAAGTCACCCCGCAGTTCAATTCAATCAGAAGCTCACAATCAGAAGTGTGTGTAGCTCCCCAGCTGATTCAATAAGCAGCCAGTCGAGGACTCCTGGTGGGGAGCAGTGGTTCTCAGCCTCAGCTGCGGTGGAAACGCCGGGGTAGATTTTCACACTCCTGGGTCCCGATGCACCAGACAGCGAATCAGGGCCTCTGGAGACGGGACCAAGCCGACAAGTCCCTCCCCGGTGACTCCAGTCTGCAAGCAGGTTTGGAACCACTGGATGAATATCTTGAGCATTTATTTGGGGATGCACGCAGGAAACAATTAATAAAACATGAGAGAGTATACAGCAAAAGGATCCAGTTCCTTCAACAAATAAATGTCAGGAAAATAAAAAGATAATAAAATGAGAGAAAGACTTGAAAGACCTCAAGGCAATGCAGTGTGTAGTCTCTGTATGCTGAATCAAACAAACCAGTATAAAAAGACATGTACAGGCATTCACAGAAATGTCAGCATTGACTGGCTATTTGATGATTAATGACCTTAATTTTTTAAAGATACGATGGTGATATAATGGTGTGGGAAGATAAGGTAGGCTGGGATGTTTGGATAGATGGGACGTGGGATTGGGGGTGGGGTTGTTAGTAAAGTGACTCTAAATTAGGTTGGGCTTCTTCGAAAGGTCTTTTAAAGACTGGGCAACTTCTATTTGACTTTGGGAAGATACTGAAAAGGGTTTAGTTAACTGGTTATTTTTAAACTAGGAATAAATAAAATAGTTATACATCCAAATTTTAGAAAGATAAATCCTGGTAACTGAGAGAAATGGATTGAAGAGAGCTGTAACTACAGCAGAGGCAAGTGACTGGAGCAGGATGAGATGACATCTGTCGAAGGGGTGAAGGAAGGAGATAGATGTGGGAGGTGAAACCTGTGGGATTTTACGCTGTCACGGAGGAGAGGGTCTAGTGAGACTCTGATGGAGCGAGGCCAGATGGGGGGCATTTGGAAGAGAAATAATAAAACGGGGCCAAGCAATTCTAAGTGATATTCTAACCCTAAGATGGCTTTTATTTCCCTGCAAAAAAAAAGTAAGGGGAGAAGGGTGTTGGGGTGTGGGGAGGAGAAACATCTGTAACAAAAAATAAATTAATAAAAATTGGGGAAAAAAATAGATGAAATGGAAAAAATAAAAAAAAGTGGAAGTTGTACATGGTATTTTAGTCATAAGAAAAGTTATATTACTAGAGAAGAAATATAAAAAGTTTAGGAAGATTCAAAAAGGATCGTTCTGAGGGACCTGAGAAAAAGTGAAATTTAGAGAAATGACCAGAGGCCTAATTAATAAGTGATCAGAATGATAGGATTTCATTGCTATTAAAAGGGAAGCTGAAGCTATCGCCTTTTCCCAGATCGACTCATAAGAGTCAGTTTTCTTGTTAGGAGGTATGTCATTCTGTTTCATCATAGCCCTTACCATTTATGCATCTGAGAACTGACCCGTTTTATCACTGAAAACTCATTTCTCTGTTTTGTTTTTGTTTAGGACTTCATGTTTTTTGAAAGGAGTGGACAAAAAGAACATCGAGCAGGAGTGTGGTAGTAGATTAATAAATGTCTCATAAATTGTGAAATCTGTATATTGATTGGGACTATGGACAAGTAAAATTTTACTTACATGTTTCCTTATTGAAATGACTTATAATGTGTCAATTATATTGTGCAGCCTAGAGCTCCAGGTGTATAATTTTAATTTTTAAATTATAGTTTATTTTCTGTATCACTTACTTATGTTTATATACATTTTCTTTCATTTTATAATTTTGTATTTCATTGTGTATTTCAGGGAAAGGACAGGTATTTTTACATTTAAACATGAAACTTCCTTTGATAAATTGTTTTATTTTCAATTTTATAGCAAAACTAATTAAAATGATTTAATATAAAATTATACAGTACTTTATTAAATTTAGTTATAATTGCATATGTAACAACTAATGTTATTTTGCAAATATTGTATATTCAAAAAAATTAGGAATGAACATAACTTCAGTTTTCTTTACAATTATGTTCAAATAATACTCAATATTCATATTATCAAGGAAAAGTAAAATATGTATTTGTTTTTATTCAGCAATTATGTCACATTTAACTTTTATATAAGCTAATCTAGCACTATAAAATTTTCATATCAACAAAACAATAGATTACCATTTTTTAGTGTATTTCAGTGAAAAAGACATAATTCTGTCCCAAAGAAGAACACATTTAAAGACTCAGTCAAAAACTAGAATATTATTATCACATTTGAAGTATGTATTTACACTTGGAATGTTTAGTATCTAATTCTATCATTCATAGAACATGGTAGTTATGAGATCATTCAGGTATAAATTATATAGAATCTGTATATTCCATCAGAGTATGAACTTCAATAATGGACTAGTAGGTTATTTATACCAACAATGAAGTAACTGAAATAAAAAAAAAAAATGGTTGATATATTTCTTTCCATATTTTCATTTTTAAACTGCACAATCAATGTATATGGTGTTCTTACCCTTACACATTTACCTCTCCCCTTCCTTTTCAAAAGAGCAAAAGCATCTGCTGGAAACTAAGATTTCTGCCTGGCACAAACTTAAGGAATTTTTTTATCTGTTTTATAGAGAAATTTGGATTGAATGAGAAGAGATGTCCAAGCCATAATTTTACTCATGCAAAGGAAAAGCATGCTTAGGATATAAGGTCTTAGGGGAGAAACTCCTTTTTATCTTCAAAATTTCACCAAAGCCACTAGTTCCTAAAGTTGAGAACATTGAGATGTCAGAGGAGCTACAGGAAAAGCTAAGTCTGGACCATTTCTCATTAGTGAAATAATTCACCAGATGCCGGATTCCAATGATAAGAAGTCACCATGGCACTGGCATTGTGTTTACACTTGGTACAGACAGCAAGCCAGGCGAGGTTAGGGACTGGCAAAGCTGGATCCTAGGGGCATTGGTTACACCAGTTAGGGGTGGGGGGGCTTTCCAGGTTAGTTGTTGGGTACCACAACCTACACAAAATGAGGCCCGAGGTATTGAGATCAGCTCTGTGACAGTACATCTTACTTTCATGTTCCATTTTCCTCACCCCTCCTCCTTTCCCTCCTGTGCACAAAATTCAGGATCTCTGGTTCAGCAAAGTATACATACAACTGCTCTGAAACAGTTCCCTTCTTCTTTATCTGTGCAAGGAAGTTTTGTGCAGACATCCACACACCATCTGCAGAATCCTTTTAAGTTTGAATACTAGAAAAACTTAACATTTACAAAGAGAAAAATCATTACACATGAAAAATTAGAAATTTTAATAAGAGAAATACCAGAAATGACAACAAGTGTCTTTATCTGTAATCTCAGTGAGGTTTGGAGGAATGCTGCCTGTTTCTGAAATAGGCTGTACTAAAGTTGAAAACTATGATGACCACATTTTAAAGTGTAATGGATGGATATAACATTGCCGAGGTTGGGGGCGGGTGATGGGAGGAGGGTGTCAATGGGGGAAAAAGGAGAAATATCTGTAACAAAAATAAATTAATAAAAAAAAAAACTAAAAAATAGTATGATGGAGACATGGGAATAGTCGATTGCATAATATATAAAGATAACACAATAAAGCAAGAGAGACTTTAGAAAATTTCCCAGAAGTCATAAAATATAGAGAAAAATGCAATTCCTGAGGAATGAATACATCAACTTTAATTTATGCACAGCAGGGATTCCAGAAGCAGAAATCAATGGAGACAAGAGAATTTTTTTAAAAAGAAAACTATGGGCAAAAAGGACAAACTACTCTCTAGGTGAATTGATTTAGCATATAACAGAAAAAATTATTAAAATGCCTATTTGTGATTATGTTTGATAAAATAATTACCATATACCTGCACTATGGCAGGCCCTGTTAGACCCTCGTGCAGGGATGTCTGTGTCCCATCTTCATGATAGTCCCCCAGTCTAGTTCACCTTTTCTTACCTCACTATGACATTTGATCAATTTAGTACTGTAATCACAGGCACTTAAAAGGACCAAAGGAGTCTGGCCAGTGTGGCTCAGCGGTTGAGCATCGACCCATGCATCAAGAGGTCGCTGGTTTGATTCCCTTTCAGAAACATGCCTGGATTATGGGCCAGATCCCCAGCGGGGGGCATGCAGGAAGAGGCCAGTCGATGTTCTCTCTCATGGATGTTTTTATCTCTCTCTCTTACTCTCTCTCTAAAATCAATAAAAAAAAAACAATTTTTTAAATTAAAAATAAATAAATAAAAGGACCAAAGGAGGAACCTCTGTAATACTTGCAACAATACAGAGACATTTAAAAAGAAAGAAAGAAAAATAAAAGGACCAAAGAATGTGAAACAAAAAGGTAAATCCTACGAGGGTACTTACCGCCTTGCTCCATTTCCCACGCCTGCCTTCGAGGGGGGCCTCACCGCCCCTGAGATTCTTACCCTCGGGATGATGTGCTACATAGAGATGCGCTGTCGTGGGCTCACTCAGAACGGGCTCCCTTCACCTGTCTTTTTCACCAGGAAGAGAAAAAAGCACGTCTCGGCCATCGTTCTGCTCACCAAGTCCTGGATCTTGGCTCCTAAGTGCCCTCCTGGCCTGGAACGGGACTCCTGGAGAAATGGCTGTACTCAGCAATGAGCCAGGCACAAGTACAAGGCGCGTCTCAAATAGCGTATGGAAAAGCCAAGGAGGTGCTCCAGGAATAACCGTGGGACATCAACGGATGAAGAAACCAAACTGAAAGGGTTCCCACCAGCAAAATGCAGAAAATTTGAGACGTGAAATCTTTATAGGAAACAATCATTACCTCTGAAATAAATTAAGAGACCAGGTGTCCCCACAGATAGAGATGTGTAAGTTAAAAGTTTGATGAGTACAAACATACATAGCGTTTCAAATTCCATCCCACAATGTTCTTTTTTTTTTTTTTTTATCCTCACCCAAGGATACTTTTTTTGCATTTATCTTCAGATAGAGCAGAAGGGAGAGAGGGAGAAAGAGAGAGAGAGAAACACTGACATGAGAGAGAGACATCAACTGGCCGCCACCCACACAACCCCAATGGGGGCCGGGGACAAACTGCAACCCAGGTATGTGCCCTTAGCTAGAACCGAACCCAGGACTCTCTGGTCCATGGGTCGATGCTCCAACTACTGAGTCAAACTGGCCAGGGCCCCACAATGTCCTTTTAATTTTAAAGGGGGAAAGAGTAACTTTTACAGCAGAGCCTAGTGATCAAGTGATTGAAGTGATCATCAGTAAGGGACAAAGTGCAACTGAGTACCACCTGATAGGATGCAGTGAGACACAGCACCACAGGAGTCTTGACATGTCCCTTAGGCCAGTGCACCGTGAGGGGCTTTTGTTTTAGTGCTGACAAGCTGGCCCATCCTGGAGGCATGCCTTTGTCCAGAACTTGTGTTTATCTAGCCAGGACTTGGGCTCAGTTTGCAGTTTCTTGTTATAGTTACCCTCGCTGCACCCCAGGATTCAAACTCTTCAAACTCTTCTAGCCATTACTTGTGTGCAGTGTGGACTGAAACCCTCAGAGGGAATCTCTCTTGCAGCATCCCAGCTGTAAACCACTGTTTTTTTTTTTTTTTTTTTTTATCCTCACCCGAGGACACCTTTCCATTTTTTGTTCAGATAGAGCGGGAGGGAGAGAGAGGAAGAGAGAGAGAGAGAAACGTCGACATGAATGAAAGGGACACATCGAGTGGCTGCCACCCGCACGACCTGGAGGGCCAGGTCCAAACTGCAACCGAGGTGCATGCCCTTAGCGGGAACCAAACCCGGGTCTCTCTTGTCCGCAGGCGGACACTCTAACCACTGAGCCAAACCGGCCAGGGCTAATCCACTGTTCCTTTTACTCAGCACGCAGTAGCCTGGGGTGGAGAATGGGGTGGAGTTCTCCACGGTTCCGGGTGAGTATCATTCTTAAACACTGTAAATCTGCTGCGGCCACAGCCCAATTCAATGCAATCCTGAAGCCAGAGATTGGCGGGACTTTGCCAATTTCTCTCTTTAATCTGCTCATCACCAGACTGCTCTTCACAGACCGCCCAGCACCAGCTGGAAATCTGAGAGCATGTCTGCGGTGCTTCTATGAGGGGAGTCTATGGGTGATGGGGGGTGGGAGGAAGGTTGAGAGCATCCTTTCAGTCAAAAGGACCTCAACAGGTAGAGAAACCCAAACCTAATGATCCAGTTAGAAGCCTGCCAGAACGGAAAAGTTCAGAAAAGCAACGAGGCCATTTCTTCTAGGACCACTTGCCCTGAGTGGCTTGGCTGGGCCGAGACTGCACGGTTATGGAGCCTATTATCCTCGAACAGAAGTGCCTCCTCCTCCTACCCTTCCCACCCCACACCCCGAGGTCCCCTGGCCTGAGAGGGGTTTCAAGGGTGAGAAGCTTCATGCTGCTCTGGAAGGCCCTGAGGCCCGGGATACCAGGAGTGTAGGGGCATTCCTAGGGCCTCGGGGCCAGGTAGTGTAGGGGGTTGTGACCGTGAAAGTCGTGTCATTAGATGTCCCAGAATAAGGGGTGAGTATAGAGAGAAGATGCGGAGGTGGGGTGGGGGTTGTTTTGAATCTTCAGAAGAAAGTTCTGCATGGGTGGTTTGGCGCAGGTGTCCAGTGCTGGTCAGAGAGGCTCTGGGGTGGCTGGGGAGAGGGAGGACTAAGGTGGAGCAGCTGTCGGGAGAGAAAAGATACTCTAGGAAGAAGTGGTTAAAAGGACCAGAATGTCCTGTCGGTTCCTAGTAGTCCGCTGCTCTTTCCTGGGTAGGTTTATTAAGGTTGACTGGAGTTTGGACTCAAAAAGAGCTACTATAATTGCACAGTAAGTAAAAGGAAGTCAACAGGGAATTCCTGCCATTATTTAATGAAAAAAATAATTTTTAAGACGCTTCCAAGATGCAGTTACTCCTTTCAGAGTGTCCTGGTTGGGTGCTCAGAGACTGCCCTGCTCCCGTCCCGGCCCCTGCCCCTGCCCCTGCCCCTGCCCCTGCCCCACCGCCATGCCCGGGCCTCCTGGCTGCCTGAGGGCAGCACCCTGCACCTGACCCTGTCCCTTCGCAGGAAGAGTCCCGCCCTGTCCCTTAATGTCCTCAGTTCATACCTGGCCACGACAGCAGCATATACCTGGATATTCCATGTGGGAATTAAATGTTCTACGTAGGTCGAGGCACCTGAGAAGGTTCCCGCGGTAGAGCAAGGGCAGGACCTGGAAACAGCTGCAGGCTGGTAGTAATCACAGGCTTTCAAGCTGGAGAAGTGCTCGTGCGCCTACAGACAGTTGTGGATAAACTGAATTTCTGTATTGTGGCTTTAAATGGCATGCAGAGCCCTGGCAGGTTTGGCTCAGCAGTTATTGCGTCGGCCTGCGGTCCGGAGAGACCCGGGTTCGGTTCCCGCTAAGGGCACGTACCTCGGTTGCAGTTTGTCCCCGGCCCTGATTGGTCGTGCGGGTGGCAGCCACTCGATGTGTCCCTTTCACGGCGATGTTTCTCTCTCTCTCTCTCCCTCCCCAATCTATCTGAACAAAAAATGGAAAAAAAAAGTCCTCAGGTGAGGACAAAAAAAATAAATAAATAAATGGCATGTTGAGTTGCCCTGGCCAGTGCTCAGTGGTTAGAGTGTCAGCCGACAGACCAAAGAGTTGCAGGTTCGATTCTGGTCAAGGCCACCTACATGGTTGTGGTTTGTCCCCGGACCTGATCAGGCTCATGTAAGAGGCAACCAATCGATGTGTCTCTCTCACATCGATGTTTCTCTCCTTTTCTCTGTCTCCCTCCCTCCCACTTTATCTGATAAATGGAAAAATATCCTCAGGTGAAGATTAAAAATAATAGTAAAATAAATAAATGGCATATAAAAATTCATTCTGAACACACAGATGAAGGCTGCTTCTCCTCCTGGAAGAGAGGGGCTGTCCTCACACAAGATACCAAACTGGGGCCCATTCTCACCTCAGAGGACAAGGGAACCCCATCTGGGCACAGAGGCCCTGACTTCCTTTCTCAGTCTCCTGGTCCCTAACTGTGGAAAACCATGAAGAAAGGGGGCGAGAATCAGGGGCGCGAGACCAGGCGAAACAGTATCACCTGGACAACACCAGGTGGAAGTACAAGCTCTGGATTCACAAGCAGGATGGCCACAAGATGACACCAGCCGTCAACTGGCCACAGACCTCCGAACTTACCTCTCTCCACACAGTACACGCAAGTTAAACTGTAACTGATTTTAGTGATAAATGGTAGAAAAACATCCCATCTTTGCCAACAGACAGCTTATAAATTCACCGAAGTTGGAAACCCACTAGGTTTGGAAAACAGATGCATTCATTTCTGCAGTGGGTTCTGACTTTTCAACATACTGGGGTGGTTGCATCTGGCAATGACAGGAAACATTATCTTATTTCTTCCTGCAGAAAGTTGCTTTTGAGAATTGGTTGTGAGACACAGTTTACTTTTAATCAAACGTTGCCAACAGATGGCAGCCATCTGGAACTGTTCCAGAGAAAGGCCCTATTAGATGAAGTTCACAGTGCAGGTTGGATCCTGGTCTACTGTGAACCTCCTAAACACAGTTCTGTTAAGTCTTCCTGCCAGAATCCTCTCCCCGTCGCTGCTATTCATAGTAGCAGAGGATTTACTTGCACAATTCATTTAGTTTACAAATCTATTTTGGGGTGTGTGCGTGTGTGTGTGTGTGTGTAAAGAACATAGATTCACTCAAATAATTCAGATACATTTATTTGTGGCAGTTGTTCTCTGGAGAAACTGAATAGTCAAAGAAAAAAAAATAAACCTCCAGATTTGGGGGCACGTGGAAGAAAGAAAAATGCAGCTTCTCACCCGTGCACCACAGTGAGGTAAACCAGCCAATAAGGCCTGCTGTGGGGGGGCCTGTCATGAAGGAGCTGGGCTCACTCAGAACAGACACTTGAGGAAGGCCTCAGGCAAGAGAGTCAAACAAACCAAAAAAAACCCTAAACTTGGGGAAAAGGACATTACTGATAGCAGAAGAAAAAGAAAAAAAAAAGCAGAAGAAAAACAGCCCATAATGACAACCTCAGAGACATAAAAAACAGTCTACAAAATAAGACTAGGAAAAGATAATGACATTTGGGGAGGGTAAGAGTTGAACACAGGATAATATATTTTCAATTAAGTTAAGATAGCAAACATAAAATTAGCTATTCTTTTAGAATTTTAAGCAAACAAAAATGCAGGTATGAGAGGGGAGGGATGCATGGGGAAAGTGAAAATGAAAGAGAAAGATGAGTCAGAATGCCGTTCAGGGGAGGAACACAGGTTTACCTTGGCCACTAAAAAGGGACGTACCTGCTACCTGAACTGGACTCACTGAAACACAGGCACTGCGGTCTAGAGGAAAGTAACCTGGGTGGTGATGTTTATCCAAGAAGGGGGAGGGGGGAGGGTTACTGTAGCATGTCTCCTGAGTCTACGTATCTGCGTTCCATTTCACGCTTCATGAGTACTCTTTTTTTAAACAAATTGCTCCATCTCTGTATGAACTTCTATGTAGACAATCGGTGCAAGTCCTCAAAATATTATTTTGCAAAGCATGGATCAACTCTAACTATATTAGGGGTTAATGCTCTTATGTTGAGGTCTCTCTATATCCCAATTCACGGAGCCAGTTCTATGGTTATTCAAGGCCTCATTTCTTCTCTAAAGCATGGATTCTGAATGTCCACAAACGAATTCCAAATTGGTCTCTCCATATATGAAGCCACATATTAATATTAAAGATAGCAGCGCTTCCATTAGCCTGGTGTGATGATGTAAAGCAAAGCCCCACCCAACTAAAAGGGAAACTTTCATTTGGTTGTTATATCATGGAGTAACCCAACAAAAAGAGTTTGTGTTCTATTATACAAGTGTTATGGTTGTTAGTGCTGCCAGAAGGACCCCCAGATGTCTATGGCCTCATGTGGAAGACTGGAGCATTTGTGGCTGGTGATGTAACTAGAAAATGTAAATGCCCCACTAAGCCTTTTTTCTCAAAACAGAAAACTGCGCCCTATTCCACAGGAACCTGGGGCACCCGGCTGGCAGGGCGTTGGCCACTGCTCGCCATGAGGCCCCGCTACGCCCACTCTGCCTTCGGGCGACGGGGCTTTCGGGGTTCTGCCAACAGCAGTTGGCCTAAACCAGAAAACAGAGACGACAGCAATAAAAAGGATTTTAAAAAAGAAATGGTTATAATAAGATCCTCAGTGATAAAATGCTTTTGACTAAAAATGACCTTCAACGGCTTAAAAACCCAGAATCACAAGAGCTACAGTTATGGTATGAAATTAAAAATGCATGAACTCCCCCATGCAGAAGAGGACAGGACCTTGTTTGTTTTGAGTGTGTAATCAGGTGAAGAATGAAAAGTAGCATCCTTGGCGAGTCCACAGCCAGCAGCCAGCCTTTAAGAACAAGCCATCTGGACCTTGTGAGTATCCACGGTCAAGCCTCAGCTTATCGATGTCGCCGGGCTCTTTCCACAGTTCAGTTCTTCCGTTCCCAAGACCTGTCCTCACATGGTCTCCTGACGGCTGTCAAAGTCTGCACATCACTGCCATATACAAGGGAGGAGGCATGCATGCATACTTGAATGTATGTGTATGTGTGTGTGTACACACACATACATGTTACATGGGAGCTTGCCAGCAGAGCCAATTCTTAGGCCCCAACCAGACCTACTATTGAGTCACTAACCCTGGAGGTGGGCCCTGAACATTGGGTCTTAAAAGATTCAGATGCACATGAAAATTTGAAGATCACTAGTTTACTATGTAAAAGCAGATACTGAGTTTGCGATACACAGCGAATAGTTTATACCACACGTAGATGTCTTCTACTTAAAGGTGGTACTCTTCTTTATAGACCATAATAGGAAGTAAGAAGACTTCAACGAGTTTGAGAAAATGAAAAGCAGCAGCAGACGTGGTCAATGATTTTCAGACAGAGGAAATCACAGCCTACAGTGTGTAAAGATGTACGAATAAGGACATCCAGTTTACCTCCACAGATCCCCTCAGAGATGAGGACTTAGTGATGCCAAATAAAGAAAGGATAGAACATTTCTAGTTTTATTCAGAAAATTACAAGTAACTATAAAGAATGCATGAAGGTCTATATTCTGAGAGCTATTCACCTACCCTCATTCGCTGCCTGAATAGAGAAAATGTTGCAATGCTGTGTATTACACTACGCGAGGGATGGAAGATTTCTTCTGTGTAAAACTGAACAGAAACGTCTCAAGATTTAAAATCACAATATTCAATCCGACCGGTGTGGCTCAGTGGTTGAGCGTCGACCCTGCACCAAGAGGTCACTGGTTCAACTCCCGGTCAGCGCACATGCCCAGGTTGTGGGCCCGATCCCCAGTGGGGGGCGTGCAGGAGGCGGCCAATTAATGTTCTCTCTCATCGATGTTTCTCTCTCTCTCTCTCTCTCCCTTCCTCTCTCTCTAAAAATAAATAAAGTAAAAATAAATAAATAAATAAAAACACAACAGTCGTTGGGGGAGTAGAGGTGGAAAAGAATTTTACATGGAAGCTACTGGACCGCTGCGGTTCTCCTACCCTTTCTGCAGGAGAAGTTCGACAGCCAGGGAGCAGAACCCGGGCAGAAGCTTCTGTGAGCACTGGACACCTTGGGCATCTACTTTGACTACTGCACAAAATGTTGTGAACTGAACATCTGTGCCCCCCAAATTTTATATGTTAAAGCCCTCAGCCCCAATGTGATGGTATTTGGAGAGGGGCCTTTGGGAGGTATTTAGATTTCGAGGCGGTAGTGAGGGTGATGAGGAGCTTAGAATCCCCGTAAGAAGTGGAAGGGGGACAAACGTTAGTTCTCTCTGCCAAGTGAGGACACAGTGAGAAGAGGACCCTTTACCAGGAGATAGATCTGCCAACACCTTGATCCTAAACTTCCCGGTCACCAGAACAGTAGGAAAAAATGTGTTGTTTAATCCACCCAGTCTGGGAGATTTGTTATAGCAGCACAAGTTGAAGACAAAAGAAAAATAAATGTCAGGGTCCATCCAGAAGAAAAAGCTAATACCACATCCCCATTAAAATCGGGGATCCTAAAAAGTTATCACGTCATACAATGAAAAAGAAGTAAACTCCACCATGCAGAAGGTAAAAGCACGGGAAAAACTTGCTCCTATTGATGTGCTGCAGGATGAGAGAGACTCGCTATGTCTTTCTATACATGTGTGTATATATATACAAGTTCCCCCTGCTATCCGAGAGGAGAGTGTGCCTACGGAATTTTCTGGAAGACAAAAGAGCACAAAGGAAAGGATCAGGACACAGCTCAGTGAGGGTGCATAAACGAAATGGAGCTAAAACGCAGGCGCTCACAGAGTTCAGAGCCGCGGCGGCTGGCTGCTGGGGCGCTGAGTGCTGTTCCTGGGGAACAAACCTGATGTCACCCTTGCTGCTCCAGGGGCACTCTGCCTCTATGAGGACAAAACAGACGGCCCTGGCCGGCTTGGTCAGTGCTGAGGGCGTCGGCCCTCGGACCAGAGAGTCACAGGTTAGGTTCTGCGAAGGGCACGTACCTCGGTTGCAGTTTGTCCCCGGCCCTGGGTGGGGTTGTGTGGGTGGCAGCCAGTCGATGTGTCCATCTCACGTCGATGTTTCTCTCTCTCTCTCTCTCTCTCTCTCTCCCGCCCACCCTATCTGAAGATAAATGCAAAAATGTCCTTGGTGAGGATTAAAAAAAATTAAAATTAAAAAATAAAGGCAAAACAAATGCTAAATTCTAACTTTTTGCTTTTGTTATGTAAAAGCAAAAATCCTCTTTGGATTTCTTTTGATTAGCGAAACCAGGTACTAATGTAGGTCTTTTGTAAAACTGAAATGGTGAAAGAAAACTTTCAAAAAGCAAATCTTACCACTATACCTCAAAAAACATATATATGCAAATATACATTTATATAACTATATATAAAAATATGTATGTATATATATATATAAATGAATTAAGCATTAATTTCAGACAAAATGGACAATGTAGGAAAGGCATTACTAGAAGAAAAAAGAAACACTTTATAATAATAAAGGTTCAATACACCTGAAAGATAAAACTTTTAAGTTCCACATGATCATATAATCTCAAATATATGTAGGAAAAATCTAAGTAAGAAGAAATAAATAAATCCATAATTACAGTTGAGGTTTTAATATCCCTCTGAACAAGCAAACAAAATAAAATAATTGTGCAAGTAGCACACTGAGCCAGTAGAAAAAACACTGGCCCACAGCTGAAGATCACATCTGTTTTTCAAGTAACTGTAAAATATGTATGAAAATCGGCTGTTCACCAGAGGGCCCTGATGCAAGTCTCAAAATATTCCAAAGTGTTGGAACCACTCATAGCATGTGCTTGGACCACAATACAATTACAAATAATAAAAATATAAGTAGACAATTTTCATCTCCTTGGCAATTAAACAGGTGTCGAAGAATAAATCATAATGAACTCCCTGAGGTACGTGGCATTTTAAAATAACATGCGAAGCCCAAAAGTCAAAAGGGATAAACACAATAAAAGGTAATTAAAAATGAAAATGTGTGTATCATGGAAGCAACTTTAAATAAGTTACAATCCAGAGACACACTGGGCGAAAGAATTGTGCCTTATTTAAGAGAAGAGAAATTCAACTCCACAACATGGTCAGGTACACCAACAAATCAGCACGAGGAAAGAAATGAACATCCCACAAAAAAATGGGTATTGAATCTCAGATAAGTCATAGAATAAAATGGTAAATAATCATAATCACATTAAAAAGTACTCAACCCTATTAATAATTATTAATTATAAACAAAAATATAAATAAGATAATTGTTGCTAAAGAGTAGCAATTAATTTACAATTAATATGACATTGGAGAATGTGGAAAACAAGCATTCTCGTACTTTATCAGAAGAAGAATAGAATTTTTTTTATAGTTTGCACAAAAAGATATGTGCAAAGATGATAACTACAGTGTAATTTATAATAGCAAAAACCTAAAAATAAATAACACCTGGATTATTAGATAAGTGATACAGTTCTGTATTAAAGGTCTGGAGAGTTCCAAAATCCACCACCAGAAACAGTTTGTATAAAATATTCCTACCTACGTTAAAAAAAAAAAAAAAAGGCACTGTATAGATGTGTATATACATATTTGTATTGTTAAAATGTTTTTATAAATAGAAACCAGTCTTAAAATTCCCCGAGCAGCCAAAACAGGTTTAGTCATACAAATAAAACTTGATTTAGTTTACTCTGCAAGACTAACTTGACCTGGGTTATTTCTTGCTTATGTCTCTGGAAATCATAAGCAAACGAACTGTTCCCAATCTTGATATGAGCTAACCACTGGAAATTCTGGTATAACTTATCACTGCAAAGAATAAACGGTCACTGTGTTCTCACTGCATAAGCTGCTTGTTAACGTACTCTTGAACCTCATTTCCTATTTTGGTTTTAGTGTCTGCACAATACACTTTTACTGATTACAACTTCAATGAATCATGGATTTATTTCTGTTACTTCTAAACTTTTGACGGAGTCACATTTACTGACTGCTTGTTCTGTGGCAGGAACCATTCTGAAAACTTCGCATATGTAATCTTCCTCAGTCCTCATAAAAATCCTGTGAGGTGGTTGCCCTCACTACACCTGCAGAAATTGTTAGGTAGCTTTCACAAGGTCTCAGAGATGAGAGGGATGATGAGAAGGATGAAAGTGGATGAGAAATCTTCTGCTCTCTTTAACCACAGTTAACAGTGTAAAGGTGAGAATAATGGGGAGGAAGAGAATATATAGGCTTTATTATTTGGAGGATCCTGTGTTGCTTTTGAAAAAAAGGAGGGAGGGAGGGAGGGAAGGAAGGAAGGAAGGAAGGAAGGAAGGAAGGAAGGAAGGAATGAAGGAGGAAGGAAGGAAGGAAGGAAGGAAGGAAGGAAAGGAGGGAAGGGAGGGGGGGAAGGGAGGGGGGAAAGGGAGGGGGGAAAGGGGAGGAAGGGGGGAAGGGAGGAAGGGGGGGAAGGGGGGAAGGGGGGAAAGAGGGAATAGAGGAAGGGGAAAGGGGGAAGGGGAAGAGGTAGGGGGAGGGGGAGAGAAGAAGAGAAAAGGAAAAGAAAGATCAATGAACAATTCGATTTCACAAGTATGTATAGAAAGCTAAATATTCCACGCACGTGGTCGCTTTGTCTCTGAAACAAGCTAAGCCGTCCTCCGACAGAGAAAACGGAAGAGAACAGCAGCAAGAGAGGAAGGAGACCCGAAAGAACACAAGCTGGACCCGCCACCCTGGTGCTCGGAACCGCAGCTTCAGGCTTCGAAAGGGGCAGGGTCGGGAGGTCGGCCTCGGTGGAGGAAGCGCCCACAGCCCGGCGCCCTCGGAGGCAGCCCCGGGTTCTCCCGCGCAGTCCCGCGGGTGGGGACGCCGGGCCTGGCTGCCCTGAGCGCACCACCGGGGGTTCCTGCTCCCGGGCCCACAGCGCGAAGCGGGGGGCGACACCTCCGTGCGCCCGGGCGGTCCCCGCAGCGGTCCCGTCCTGCAGCCACGCGGGCCGGCCGAGGACCGCCGTCGGCACCCGGAGGCCCGACTCCCACCCCCCGCCCCGGACGCCCCGAAGCGCCGCAGACGGGGGCGCAGCGGCGGGAGCTGGGGCGGCTGCTGGGGGCGGGGCGAGGGCGGGGCATCGCGTTGCGTGGGGCGGTGGGCGGGGGCCCAACGGCCGCGGGGGGCCACCCGGAGGTGGGGCCGGGAGATCCCGCAGGCCAGGGCCCGGGTGAGCAGGGTCCCCGCCTCAGAGCGCCCAGCAGGGGACTAGCGGGTCTTCACAGCCCGGGAGCACCGGGCCTGGGCATCGGCCACTCCTGGGGGGATCTGGGAACGAGAACCGGAGCCTGCCAGCTGCCTGCAGCGGTGAACCCGCCCTAGGAGTACGGGTGGGACTCTGCCCGGCTCGCTGCAGCTTCGCCTTGGAAGGACAGGGCCTTAGTGTCAGTGTCAGGCCATTTGGGCTCCCCCTCTTCTCCCTGGAACTTGTGTAACAGCGGAGGTTCCTCTTGATACCATCCTGCAGGTGGGACAGCGAGAGGAGTTTCAACACTGAACTAGCACAGGGCTGTGGGTAAAATACGTGGACTTCTGCCCTTGGGTAGAAAGGTGGTATTTGAAATATCTAGATCGTAGGACATTGAACAGCCTTCAGATTTGGAAGGGAGCTGTGCTTTCTGACCGAAAGGAATGAAAGGATACTGAACACACCTTGTAGAATCCACAAGCACCAGCTCAGTGCCTCCTCTGGACTGGCCACACAGACCGCTCCTTTATTTTAATGAGACGCGCTCCCTGGGCCTTAGGACTTCCACCTATGCAGTTACCTCTGTCTACAATGCCTCGCCCCACCCACCCTTCAAACACACACACACACACTTCCTTCAGCTCTGGGATCTGTCTTCCTTAACACCCCCTCTCCACCATCTAACCCAGTGACCCCACAACTCTTTATTGTAGCACCATTATATTTATCTGTAACACTTCGGGTACTTGTAATATTACATTTAATTTTGTTCATTTTCCACCATCCCCATTTTGTTCTCCAGCTTGGTATAGGGTGTGGCAGGCTAATAATTTTGAAATGGAGAGAAGAGAAGGGATTTCTTCTGGGGAACAACAGAGTTGAGTTAAACATATGGAGAGAATAGTTTACTTTTATTTACCGCTTATGATGACACCGTAGGAAGAGTTAGTAAAGAGCAGTCAAGGCAGGAGAGGGCCTGAAAAGGGGTTAGGACTAGTGTCAGTGTATGAGTCCAAGATAAGTCACGCAGGGAACAGATCTTTGTCTTCTTTGTGTTAATTGTAATTAGCAGGCATATAGGGGTTGGTTTTAAAGTGGAGTGACAGGAAAACTAGTCTTTCCCAATACAGTAAAGGCGAGGACAAGATCAAGGTACTGGAAGGCAGAAGTACCGAGTACAATGCTTTGTTTAGTTATTTGTTTGTGTTCTGCAGAAATAAGCAACACAAAGTTCCCATTGGCTTGTCATGGTGCTACAGCTCCTACAACAACTGAGCAGGTTTTCTAGCTAAAAGCATGGAAGGATGCACAGAACAGGGGTCAGGTCCACCCTGTTTAGGCTGGGCAGAACACATCCACAGGACCCGGGACTTTCGGAGATTTTTGCAGTAAATCTGATAGCTAACCTTTCTCCTTCTCATGCCTGGATCCAGTCCTGAGGCTGGTGCTATATCACATCCTCTCCTTAGGTTGCGTAAGTTGTGAAGGTTCTAATTTTTAACTTGGTTGTGAGATGGGTCTTATGCTCACATTGTTTCTTCATGGCTTTTTGCCTCCTTGGGCCTTCTACACCCAGGATTTTATTTTATTTTATTTTATTTTATTTTATTTTATTTTATTTTATTTTATTTTATTATCCTCACCCGAGGACATTTTTCCATTTTTTGTTCAGGTAGAGTGGGAGGGAGAGAGAGGAACAGAGAGACAGAGAGAAACATCGATGTGAAAGGAACACATCGAGCGGCTGCCACCCGCACGACTGACCAGAGCCCGAGACAAACTGCAACCGAGGCACATGCCCTTAGCAGGAACCGAACCCGGGTCTCTCAGGACCGTAGGCCAATGCTCTAACCGCTGAGCCAAACCGGCCAGGGCTACGCCCAGGATTTTAGAAATGGTTCACCATCTGCGTTGAGAACCAGCTTCTAGAGACCTACTCAAAAACAGAGCAATGAGAATGGGCCAAGCCAAAAGGACTTAATTGGACAGATATGGATAGATAAGATGAACAAAGAGAAATATTCCATGAGTGTGACTATATAGTTTCAGAGTCTCTTGTTTCAGCCGTCATATTTGACCAAGACCGTTGTGGATAGTGTATTAACAGCAGATCTTCTTTTTCAGAAGTCTAAATCATGGATGGCCAAAGTAAGTAATTTGCTTTGTTTACTGTCTTCCCAGTTTGTTAATTCTGTTAAGAGGTTGTCGTAATATGTTATTTAGTCTCTGAAAGGATATAATTTGCTTTGTGTTGCTTGTGTTCCAGAACTGATGCCTAGTTCAGTATTGAGAACATGTGCACAAGTATACACTGCAGCTGCATTTCTTTTTTAAAAATAAACGATAAAAATTTCAGAGACACCTAAGAAGTGCCAGGCTTATTGGGAAATATATAATTTATACTATATTTCATCCAGATTGGTTTTTCCTTTACTAGTGCATTTTATATACAAAAAGATTACTCAAATCATAGTAATTAACAAATAAGAAATTTAATGTGTCAGGTAATGGTAGTACAATTCTCAGATCTCCTGATATGTATTTCATAACATAAGTAAGTGTATGGGTTTAAGTAAATACCAATCATTATTCTCTAGATTTTTTTCTATCAAGGAAATTCTAAATAAGTTGAATATTCATCAAGCATCTAATATTAGACCTCTTTTTTAAAATTTAACGTTCTAAAGAGAAAAACAATACATACTAGGAAAAAAATATCAGGGAAAAAATCCTGAGAAGAACAGTGTTAAAGAACTGACGTAACCTCACAATAAGATGTACTTACACAACTACAGCAATCAAGACAATGTGCTATTGGAGAAAGAAAGGATGGATAAGTTAAAGGAACAAAAGAGAGAGCCTATAACCAGATACTATAAATATTGTCAACTGACCTTTGACGAAGGAGCAAAGGTAATACGGAGCAGAGATAGTCTTTTCAAAAGTGGTGATGGAACAACTAGACATCCACATGCAAAAATAAATAAATAAATCTAGATGCAGACTTTACACCCTTCACAGTAATTAATTCAAAATTAATTACAGACCTAAATGTGAAATATGAAACTAAAACTCTTAGAGATGGCATAGAAGAAAGTCTAGATCAGAAATTTTCATCTCATGACACACATAAATGAATTACTAAAATTCTACAGCACACCAAAAAATATATTTTTTGCTGATCTGACCAAAAAATAGGTATAATTTTGATTCATTCTTGATTTATTCACACTAGATGGCTATTTTTGTGTTGCTTGCTGTCATAGTTTTTTGTTGCTAATCCTCACCCGAGGATATTTTTCTTAAAATCTTTATTGTTGAAACTATTACAGATGTTCCCTCTGTTTTCCTCCATTAATCCCCTCCTCCCCACACCTACCCGCTCCTGCCTTCCCTACACTATTGTTTGTGTCCCTTGCTTATACATATATTAATATAAGTTCTCTGGTTTATCTCTTCCCAACCCCCTATCCTCCTTCCCTCTGAAGTTTGTCAGTCTGTTTCCAACTTCCATGTTTATTTTGATTGTGAGCTTATTCTGTTCATTATATTACATAAACAAGTGAGATCATGTGGTACTCGTCTTTTTCTGACTGGCTTACTTCACTTAGCATAACACTATCCATGTCCCTCCATGTCATCTCAAAGGGTAAGAGATCTTTCTTTCTTACAGCTGCATAGTATTCCATTGTGTGAATGTAACATAACTTTTTTATCTGTTCATCTAATGATGGACATTTGGGCTATTTCCAGATCTTAGCTATTGTAAATAGCACTGCTATGAACACAGGGGTACATATATTCTTTATGATTGATGTTTCAGGCTTCTTAGGATATATTCCTAGAAGTGAGATCACTGGGTCAAATGGCAGATCAATTTTTTAATTTTTTGAGGAAACACTATATTGTTTTCCGTAGTGGCTGCACCAGTCTGCATTCCCACCAGCAGTGTACTAGAGTCCCCTTTTCTCCACACCCTCGCCAACACTTGTTTGATGACTTGTTGATGGTAGCCCTTCTGACAGGTGTGAGGTGATGCCTCATAGTTGTTTTAATTTGCATCTCTCTTATTTTTAGTGATGTTGAGCATTTTTTCATATGTCTCTTGGCCATTTGGATGTCCTGTTTGGAGAAGTATTTATTCAGGTCCCCTGCCAATTTTTCAATTGGATTGTCTTCCTTTTGTTGAGTTGTATGAGTACTCTAATATATTTTAAAAATTAACCCCTTATGATTGGCAGATACGTTCTCTCATACAGTCAGCTCCTTTTCCATTATGATGCTGATTTTGTTTATTCGTTTGTTTGTTTTTGCTGTGCAGAAGACTTTTAGTTTGATGAATCCCATGTATTAACATTTTTCCTTTGTTTCTTTTGCCCTAAGCAATATATTGGTGAAATTCTACTACAAATGATTTCAGAGATTTTGCTGCCTACATTTTCTTCTAGAATTTTTACGGTTTCATGAATTATATTTAATTCTTTAATCTATTTTTCTATTTTGAGTTTATTGGTGTGTATGGTGTAAGTTGGTAGTCTAGTTTCATTTTTTTTTTTTTTCATGTACCTGTTCAATTTTCCCCACATCATTATTTAAGAGACTGACTTTCCTCCATTGTATGCTTTTGCCTCCATTGTCAAATTGAGCATAATATCTTGGGTTGATTTCTGGGTTCTCTGTTCTGTTCCATTGATCTATGTGCCTGTTCTTGGGCCAATAGCAGGGCTGTTTTGATTACAGTGGCTTTGTAGTGTAACCTGATTTCTGGAATTGTGATCCCTCCAACTTTGTTGTTCTTTTTCAAGATTTCTGTGGCTATTCAGGGTCTTTTTTAATTCCATATAAACTTTCTAGATTTTGGAAATATGTCCTTGATATTTTAATAGGGTTTGCATTGAATTTATAGATTGCTTTGGGTAGTATGAACATTTTAATGATGTTGGTTCTTCCAATTCATGAATATGGTATATGCTTCCACTTTTTAATATCTCCCTCTATTTCTTTTTTCAATTGTCATGTAGTTTTCTGAGAACAGGTCTTTTTCCTCTTTGGTTAAGTTTATTCCTAGATATATTAATTTTTTGTTGCAATGGTAAATGAGTAGTTTTTTTTCTTTTTTTTCTTTTTGAGTGTT